CTGCTGCTGCTGGTGTTGCTGCTGATTCCTCGCATGCCTTGGGCTCCCGGAGGTTCGATGCTGGGATCTTTACGTCCTTAAAAAACTCCATATCCACTGAATATATATACACAAAGGTTTATTATTAGGGTTTGTGAGGGTTTAGGGTTTAAGGGGGTTTAGGGTTTAAGAGGGTTTAGGGTTTACAAGTGTTTAGGCAGTGGTTTATTTGGATGGCCTAGGGTTTAGTGTTAGGGTTTTAGATTTACAAATGGTTTGGATCGAGGGTTTGCATTAAAGGTTGGAGCTAGGGTTTGAGCTAGGGTTTTGAGCTAGGGTTTGAGGCTAGGGTTTGGAGCTAGGGTTTAGGGTTTACCAGCTATGCCAGTAGAAGAAGATTCGCGAACAATTCCTTGCAAAACCTCCCCTATAAAAGGCCTGAATATGACGGCCTTGAAGCAAACCTGAACGCAAACCCTAAACCCTAAACCCTAAACCCTACATCCTTACAGTGGATGGTGTTTAGGGTTTGGCGGAGAGTCAAGATCCCGCTCGCGGTTTGGCTCAAGCAGGCCTCCTTTGGGGTTGAGGGTTTAGGGTTTAGGGTTTACATTGTAACGAGCCTTCCCCGTATTACGGAGGATAGGGGCACCAGTAACCTCCGTTATTTCATATAGGCAGATAAATAAGCCCAAGTCTTTTAACACCTGAATGCAAACCCTAAACCCTAAACCCTAAACCCTAAACCCTAAACCCTAAACCCCAGATTGAATAATCATTCCTAACCTTTAACCCAAACCCTAAACCCTTGAAACCGCTGGGATCAAAGCCAAGAAAGAAGAAGCCTGTTGTGAGTTCTGTCCGTCCAAACAAACCCTAAACCAAAAACCCTAAAACCCTGAACCCTAAACCCTCAAACCCTAAACCCTAAACCCTACTCGGTTGGTGTACTTGAAGGCTATGGTTTCCCTCAACACGGGCTCCAAGGGCCTCCCAAGGAGGGAAGGCTCGACACTAAGAGTGTCTTGAAGGAGGGAGATGATAAACATCTTAAACCCTAAACCCTAAACCCTAAACCCTAGATCGTGAAGGCAGCTCGCAGCAGCAGCAGCCGCATAATAAATAAACCCTAGGCAGCTAGTCCTGCATCATCCTCCTCCTCGTGGATCCTCTAAACCCTGATGACAAAGTTAAACCCTAATCCCTAAACCCTAAACCATAAACCCTAGTACCAAGAAGTTCGCTGCGCCAGAGGGCCAAGCTGTCGACTCCCCGGCGCAGTGGGGTCGAGCCCTCCGGTTAAGGGTTTAGGGTTTAGGGTTTAGGGTTTCGCGCCAATAATAAAGAAGAAAAACAAGAAAGTAAACATAATAAAATATAATATCTTGCTTAGTAGAGACGAAACAAGATGCAGGGGCCCCCTCGTGTGGGGCGAGGAGGCCCCAGGGAAAAGGTCAAACCCTAAACCCTAAACCCTAAACACTAAACCCTAAACACTCGACAAATATATGTGTTTATTTACGTTGTTCTTTCTTTTTTTCCCTTGTTCCTCCGCCTTTAAGGTGTATGTACACCTGAAAGACAGCGGGCTGTCCAACCTTCTTCCGTTTCTACCCCTGTCTGCATGGGCCTAAACCCTAAACCCTAGGTCCTAAACCCTAAACCCTAACCACGAAACCCTAGAACTTCATCCATTCGCAAACCTTCCCTCTTTCCCAGGTTTTAACGCGTACAGTGGCTAGTGGAGGGTCTGGTGTTTAACTCTATCTGGGGGTTAGGGTTTAGGGTTTACGGTTTAGGGTTTAGGGTTTCGTCCCCAGGGAGGTAGTATGCAGGGGGCCCCCAGCTCTGCCTGGGGACCTCCTGGGGCCCCAGGAGGAACCCTAGTGGGGCGCCGAACCCGGCAGCAGCAGCCGCAGCAGCACCAGCAGCAGCAGCAGCAGCACCAGCAGCATGAAGCAGCAGATATAATAGTCCCTTTATTAGGGAGAGAAACAGGTGCCAGCAAAACCCTCAAGCATAAAGATTCTAGTGAGGGTTTAGGGTTTACGGATAAACCCTTGTCGCTACGCAAGCTGCTTTTTGGGGGTCATTACCATCGCAATGTATCCCTAATGTAAACCCTAAACCCTAAACCCTAAACCCTAGACTAGAAGGCTGAAGCGTGCAATAGGATCTCACCAAAACCCTAAATACGCTCGTCTCTTAACCTAAACCCTAAACCCTAAACCCTACCCTTAAACTGCAAACCGCTGCCGAACGGGACAAACACCAAACCCCCGTCTCTAAACCCTTCTGAACCCTCCAAAAGACCATAAACCCTAGTTCCCCTCCTCTCTGTTTCAACCTAAACCCTAAACCCTAAACCCTAAACCCTTGCGCTTCAGGTTTTACTTCCGAGTGCTAAACGCCATCTCGTATGCAGCGCGATCAGCGGCAATCTTTGATGCCTATTTGCACATGCAATTTGGCGGCAATAGAGCGGTGAGGGTTTAGGGTTTAGGGTTTAGGGTTTATAATC